AAAAACTATTAAATATTAAAAAAAAAGTAACAATTTAAATTAGAATATAATTTTAAATAAATTTTAGAGCTGAATATTAGAATCTTAATTTTAGTTAGTATAAGGTTTTTGGTATTCTAAATGGTATAAACTAAGATAAAACTATTATAGTGCTTAACAAAATTTTCTATATCTATATTTTCTTATAAAAAGGTGCTATAATCTTAAAACTTTCTAAATAGTTAGTATATATATAGATTAGGTTATATATTTGTTTTAAAAATTTTTTAATTACTAAAAAAAAGTTAGATTAGAGCTAAATTTGAAATGTTTTTTATTTAAAAAAATAAAAATTAATTAAATTTAAAGAAAAATTAATATATTGTCAAGCTCAAAGCTAAAATTTTTAAAAATTTGTATATTAAAATTTAATGATTTCGGTAATAATAACAAAATTTTGACTTAGTTTGATAAAATAATTATTAAAAAATTAATTTTTAAAGTTTTGAATTTTATTTTTATTATGTTTAATTTGCTGATACTTAGTTTTTTTTGTATAATAATACATTTTTCATGAATATTTCATAATTTAACAGTTCAAATTTGATGATTTTGATATTATTTAAATTGTCTTATCAAGACAATTTGAATAATATTAAAATCATTAAATTTGGATTACTAGATATTAAAATAATTTTGATTGAAAAGTTTTACTTATAATTTTTAAAAATAAAATTTAAAAGAGTGACAACTTAGAGTAGTAATTAAGTTGTTATCTTCTAAATAGCAAATCTAAAGTTCAAATTTTACCAGAGATATTTTTAGAAAAATAGATTTACATACTGATAATATTTATTTAATGATTGATTGAATATATCATTTGTAATCTTGGTACTACTATTTCAAAATAGAAGCTTTTGAACAATCTAAATCTAAGAAACTAGAATATTTAAAACCTATTTAACAAAACCTAAGCAGGAAGATAGTGAAAATCTTTGACAATACTGCAAAAGACTGAAACTAGAGACTAAAGAACTAGATGAAATTTCTGAGACAAGAAAGTCTACCAACCTGATCATCAGAGTTGCACTAAAGGAAAAGATTCTATGCTATGAAATTAGAACCAAAAAAGTAAAATCAGAAGATATTTAAAGTCTAAATACAATAACTAATTCAGACTAATTAGTTTGGTAGTTGAAAAGAGATCAGTATAAGGACTGGTTAGATGCAGATATTAGAATTTGAATGAACCTTGTAAAGGCACAAATATTAGAATTGTGTGGTTTAATAGTTAGTTCTGACTACTAGTAGTAATTTCAGTTATTGCAAAAAATATTTAAAACCTAATCTAAAAATGTGTGAGATATAGAAAAATTAGAAGAATATATACTACACCTCTCCTAGGATAACCTAATAGTATAAAAACCCTATTAGGTTATCTATAAAATTAAAACACAAGAGCTCTGTCTAATCCTCTAGTCTTAATATTTTAATAAATATAAAGTTCAAATAATGTAACTTCTTTACTCTAATTTTTAAAGAAGTTTAATTGAATTTTAATAAAAATAGAAGTATGACCTTACCTTTAAATATTAAAAAAAAAAAAAGAATTAGAACACAAGTAGTGAGGATGTGGTGACTTAGTGAAGTGGTCAAGTTGTTACCCCCCAAGTGGCATTTCTAGGGTTCAAATCCCACCAACGACGAAAAAATTTGAATTCTACTTGTGTTATGGCTACGATCTTCCCGGTTAGGGCTATGCTACATAGTGCCTATCAAAGTTGAGGCTCAGTCCTATAATCCAGTATCCACCAACCTAAAAAGTGGGAGGACCCACATGGCATTCATATAACGTATAAGTTACACGAAAAAATGTAAGCCGATTAAGTATGGTGCAAACCCAAGATAAGTCCTGTAGCCACATAAATCCTGAGAACTTAGGCAAGATGGATGCCTGTTTGGCAAGACCTGAGTGGAGAGGTAGCATATCCTTAAGTGTATGGGTAAACTCCATAAGGGCAGGGTAATTTAGAAGCGGTGTAACCTGCCTGTAAAGATATAGAATTTATCCGATAAAGAATTCTCCTGTAGTTCCTTAATTGAAATCTGAAGAAAACTAGGTCACCTGTTAAAAAGTGTGTGTAACAGAGGGCACTAGTTGGGAAATCCCCTTTCCCATTCCTATAATTAGTTGTACTTTAGACTAGTTCTTTAATAGAAAATTAGAGATGATTTGTCACATGAAAGTGGTTATACAAGATATAACAAGATATAAATAGATAGTTAGATTAATATATCATCGTGATAAAAAAATTGTAACTAATCTTATCTTGTATACGGCAAATCATAAAAAAAAAAAAAAAAAAAAAAAAAAAAAAGAACACAAGTAGTATACAAATATTAATCTGAATAGTCTTCAATTAAAGCAGCAAAAGATTATATGCTGGTATAATGGTGGTGGTGATATAGGACAGAGAACATCAAAGAGTTTAAATAGGTAATCTTCTATTTAGGTTAAAGGTATAACATCTAGTATAGAACTTTTGGGCAGACAACTTAAATCAGCAACCAAAAATTGCACATGTGGCTAAATATACTCTCATTAACCAAGAATGTATTACTAAATACCTAATAAAAATCCCCCTTTATGTGATATTACAAAGGTAAAAAAAAAAAAAAAAAAAATTAAAAATTAATTTCTTAATAATTATCTCATCAAATCGGACCAAATTTTTTATCACTGCTACAAAAATCATTGAATTTTAATATATTAATTTTTTTAGAATTTTTAACTTTAAACTTCTTTGAATTCAATTAATTTTTTTATTTTTTAAAAAAAAAAAAATCTCAAATTTGGTTCTCATCTAAACTTTTTTTTAGTAATTAAAAATCTTCAAAAAAATACATGACCTATTCTATATATATATTAACTTGGCTGAAAGTTTTAAGATCGTAGCACCTCTCTATGAAGAAATATAGGTGCGGGAAACTTTTGTCAGGCACTGTACCCTTCTACTCTGGAGAATATTTTTACTTCGTATCCTTGACATGTGTTAGCCAGTACGCTTTTGAGATATAAAATCCCAAGAAAATTAGCAATCGCCATATTACAGTATTAAAAAGTATGTATTTAACGTTAAAGTTTAAAATTATATTTAAATACAGTCAGCCCTCACTACAGTCACCTGGCTATAATCACAGCTTGTCTAAAATTACATTATTTTTAGGTTCCAACTTACTGTAAAATATAAAAAATTTAATCTGCCTATAAGCACCAACTTATAAAATCGCATATTTTAAGAAAAACAAAAGTTTTTATATAAAATTATTCGTACGTATGTATAATCGACTAAAGAGAAGTGTCACTTGTCTATTACTGTAAAAGTGCATATACAAAACCCGGGTCCATCAATTTTTAAACCCTTTAGTAGACCCGGGTCTAGTACATGCTGAGAGGTTATATCGTAAAAAGAAAAAGAAAAAGAAAATTAAGTGTATACATACTTGGCATTTATAATAAGTAATCTAACTATTTGAAAAAGATTCCGTGGTTCGCATCCGGGTCTAATCCATGATAGGTGTTTGTAAGATTTGAAATTATTGATTGATCATACGTAGGAAATTCTTAATTATTCAAAAAATGACAACAATAAAAGGTACGTACCTATTATTGAAAATTTTGAAGATGATAAGGGTTTTTACAGTGGTTCCGGTTTAACTTCCCGAAATCCATTTTTCTGAAACACCATTTCACCGAAGTCGTAATACCGAAAATCCATTTTACTAGTAGGACAGAAATAGGTCTGTGTCATTTCGCAAATAACCGATAAGTTTATTTTACTAACAATTCTTTCACTGACAGCTCATTTCACTGACAGGTTTTTTTTTAAAAATTGCACTAACCTTAATTTTAATTCTAAATCTGACTCTAACGACAATGGCCAGAATTACTTTGTCGGTGAAATGACTGCCGGTTAAATAAACTATCAATGAAATAAACTTGTCGGTTAATTGATATTCAGTGAAATGACTGCCGGTTAAATAAACTATCAATGAAATAAACTTGTCGGTTAATTGATATTCAGTGAAATGACACAGACCTATTTCGGTCCCGTTAGTAAAATGGATTGTCGGTATTACGATTTCGGTGAAAGCGTATTTCAGAAAAATGGACTGGGAAAGTGAGCAACAACCCCTTACAGTAACGATAAACGTTGCATACTTAACATAATAGCGATAGGCCTTTATCTCATACTCATTTTTTGCCAATCATGTTTAAATTTAGAATAATTCATCCTGCATGTGATCGATCGATCTGTCTAATCGAGCAATCGATTTTTTTTAAGAATCTTATGGTAATATATCTATAAGACATACAGTACAAGCAGAAATCATTAGTTAATATACTCTTTTCCTTGCTTTTTATCATCGGGTATAATATAGGTTTTTAAGCGGTGGAATGTAACATACCGCGTTGCCTATATGCGATTTACAATAGCTTGAACAGTTACGAACGATTCTAACAAAAGTGGAAATTTTGGCATCATTGCGAAATTTTAGATATCAATCTCACTTAGCATTTATATATAACTATATATTTAAGAATTGAAATAGAACAAAAAAAAATAAAATTTTTTTATATGTAATAAAAAAAAAAGGGTTATTGTTACATTTCGCGTCAAAAATGCCCTTGAATATGATTGAATGAGCCAATATGGTTTAGTGAATAAAGAAATCATCATCCTTTAATATTGCTAATAACAGAATGATAGGTCTGGATTTAGAACGTAAATTCTACAAAGATAATTTGGTAATATTTGATAATAGACAAAAATGGGGAAAATTTCATTTAATAAACATTTATTATATATATATATATATCGATATATTTTTTCTAATAGTGTATAATTCACCGAGGTTCACTACAGTTACCTAATTCAGGCTTACTTAACAGATATTCTCACTTATCGCTATTATACCATCCTCAGATTTTATCACATTATTCGCTGGCGTCATCTACGATGGAAATCACATATAAATCTTATGATAATCTAAGGACAATAGTAGCATTACAGTAAGTGATGGAAGGTTTTCAAGCAGCTCTCGAGGACATACCGAGAATTAAGACGGGAATTAAGACGGGAATTAAGACGAGAATTAAGGCGAGAATTAAGGTGAAAAGTTAGAGCAAAGGGATTCAACTTATAGATGAATATTAGACAACTGTTCAAAAATGTGATGCACGGATGAATGAACCTTCACAATTCTGGCTATTCATAATATGCAAAAATTTATATTTGCTAAAAAGTTGTTTATATTTAATACATTTTTTTTTTTTTAGACTCTTTTGAAAACGTGATATAAAATGCATCTCACCGTCTATTCCTCAATTTGAACTTTAATAATATTGAATATTTAGAGCAATTCAAACGACCTAGACAAGAAGATAAAGGTGAAGAAGGTGGTCGTCCTCTGTAGCAGTTTCATACCACGTCCGGTCATTTGGAAATAAGTACTGTAATAAAAAACAGTTGATCCCACCACGAAGTAAGAGAACTTTATATAATATGCGTATAGAAAGGACGACCATTAGAAGGGTATCCAATTGGATTACATCATAATTTCCAAAAATGATTTGTATACAAGGTAATTCTTGATCATTTTATTAAATAAATAATAATGGCAATGATAAGATATAAAAGAATTAGAAAAATTAAAATATAAAAGGCAAAAGAAATAATGAATAAAAAAACCAACAGGATTCCAAATTTAAATAAAGGCCAAAAAAATTTTTTTTTCTTATTGAATGAAATCAGAAACAACACAAGCTCTTTTTTTTTTAAAAAAAAAAAAAAAAGAAAATAACGAGATACAATTACTTTGAAGAGAATAATATATTATTATACAACCGAATGATTCGCAACTGCTATAATTCAGTACCGCCTTCCCAAATATTAAACTACGTAGTATAATTTTTCTATTAATATCGAACTAGTAGATCACAAGTAACATTATTTTAATCATCAATTGCAAATCGTCTATCTTCTGGGTTACCAATTCCTTCATACTGCTTTCTTTGGACTGTAAAAAAAAGAAAGAAAAAAGGGTGAATAATTGATTATGTAATAGATCGATACGATAAAAAGTAATAATTTTCTTGTAACACTCACAATGAAGCTTCAAACCAGCTCCTGATAATAGATAACAATAATAAGTAAAAACAGAAAAAAAAATAAGACAAAATAAATAAAGTAAATTATAAAACATGAGTTCTGCATACCAAAGTTATTAAATGCTAAATATGCAACAAATAATGTCGCTATGATCAAGGTGATACCGAGGATATCCTAATTAAAAAAAAAAAAGGAAAATTTAGAAATATATATAATAGTAATAATAATAATGATAATAATTTAGTATTTAGTATATTAATGTAAATTACCAGGAATGTCAACAAACTTTCATCACGCTGGATGATAAATGTGGCCAATATGTATAGGAAATTAGCTATTGTGGCCACGGAAAAAAGGGCAAAAATGATTATCGCGGTCTTATTTTCAGTTCGCACCTGTTAAAAAAACGATGAGAATTTTGGACGTGTGAAGTAAAAAAGACAAAAACAACAAAAAAAAAGGAAACGTACACCCCACACTCCCAATCCTAACGTTGGTATAACAATAACAATAAAAACGCTTTGGATAATTATTGTATGCGTATTGTGAACAGCATCGGCGAACAAGAATACCAAATTAAGAATTTGGAAACCCATCAAGAGGAATATATCCACTTTCATTAGCAAAATGAATACTAATCATTAAAAGTTAGATTGAAATTGTGAGTTCAGGAGTTCAGAATGATTTGAATGGATTATAAATTCGAATAGTATTGGTAATGTAAACGTACTAAGATATGTCCTGTACATGGCTAAAAAAAAATTTAATGAAATTGAAATTAATGATAATAATAACCAAGAAATAAAACAGCCAAAAAAAAATTTAATGAAATTGAAATTAATGATAATAATAACCAAGAAATAAAACAGCCAAAAAAAATATAGCTTACATTGAGTATGAATGCCAGCACCAATCTTTTTATAAATGTTCCAGCCGAATTCACCATATAATTTGTAACCAATGAATATTGCAGCAGAAACGAATAAAGACAGAAAGGCAAGTTGAACATATTCGGCATATAGTACAGTCATTGGCAATTTAGAAACAGGAGGAGAAATAATGTCGGGGGTGAAATCAAGATCAATTTGATAGTTGATACGATTTATCCATTTAAAACTCTGATAGGTTTGTATACCTGCAAACAATAGCAAGCAAATATTTATAAGACCTATCGATATTATCTCTATGGTATTCTATAACGGAAGGTAAAATAAAAATTAGTCATTATAAAACATGATAAACAAAATAATCAAGCAGAATTAAGCAGCATAATGACAGAATCTTACTTGAAAATATAACTAAAAAAGGACATAAAATAAATTGTAAGTTTTTCAATTTAAAAAAAAAAGACGCAATGATAAAATTTGACCATTATAGAGAAATTGGATTACCGCAGAGAAACATAAGACGGTAAGGAAAGCCTCAAACACCATGAACCAAATATTTCCATCTACAATCGATACGTATTGATTGCCATAATTTGAGTAAGTATAATTCATGTAGGCATACTGTGGACTACTTGGAGGATATTGTTTATATGTATTGGTAAGGTTGCCTAAAGTTCTAGCACCGTCTTCATTTATCCGTAGGATGATAGCTTCTATTATAATGGATACTATCATTTGGATCACAGCAAAAGTTATATAAAGAATGGACCAACGGGTTTCATTTATTCGAGTCCACTGTATGTTTGGGTTTATGTAATTGTTATATATACACCTTCATATAGCACGTATAGTATAAAGGGAAGCAAGAATTCCAACATACCAGTTTTTTGCCTATCTTTACTACCGTCGCACTCATGTTAAAAAAGTAATTATTTTTTAAAAGGAAAGAAACCTCACAGAGGCTTTAATAAAAAAAAAAAAAAAAAAAGGCAAAAAAAAAAAACCAATGTAGAGAAGTTGTACTTGCAACTTGTTCCAGGCAATAAATGAGACAGCAAGAAACAAGTCAAACAAGTCAGATAAAGATTTCTTGGCAATACGGGTAAAAATACAATAAAAAAAAACAATAATATTTATTTAATCGAAGAAGTTACGTTGCAATTATCAAACGGTTAGTGGTTTAATAGTTACAGAAATATGTTGACCAAACGAGAGGATCATTTAAAATATTTAATAAATTGTTTGATTTCTAAATATGGCTAGGCAAAAGTATTAATAGTAGTGAAATACACATGTGGGACAAGTGTTACAATGTGGTAATTGACAAGCATATGTACGAACTACTACTAAATGTAAAAGGTCACTAAGGATCACCACAATAATCAAGTAATCAGAAGATTTATGTATTATTTGTAAGAAAAGAAAAATGAACAAAGATATATAGTAATTCATGCTAAAAAGCATAAGGTAAAAGTTTTTTTAACATATTTCTTTGTGTTCTATGAGAATAAGTAGTTTTACCCAGACGAACTAAACGTGCTCGTGGAACCCCTGTATTAAGATGTGCTTTACCTGGTCTAGCACGTTTGAATTTTCCACGACCAGTAACTCTCCACCTATTTCAAAGCGAAATTAGTAAGATTTACCATCATAACTATCAGGAAATACCATTGCCTACCCAATTTACCTTTTTTTGGTACCAGAATGACTTTTCATCTTGTATTTGTATACAGACTTCAGACGAACAGAGTTATTAAAAGCATTTGGAAAAATCTTATCAAAATATGGTAATATTAATGGTCGAACAAGTGACCGATGAACCAAATTAAGATTTCCATTTGAGCCATTGAAAATCCTGGATAAAGACCTAATACTATAGTTGTTTGATGGAACATTTTCTATGTTGTGACGAAAGACAGAACCTAAAAGTGGCGAAGAACGAAAAACTAAACCCTGGCAAAATTCCAAATTTCTCTGACGAAAGACGAAACTTAAAATCGGAAATGGAGAAAGGCAAAACCTGGTGAGACCTTCATGAAAGTTTAAACCGGAAGAGATTTAAAAAGATCAAAACGGAAGGACTGAGCTATAATTAGTAAGCCATTTCCATAAATATCAAAATGAGTTCTAACCTTTCATAGATTTCTAAATTTCTTCACTGTTTATTGTTTATTGTTAAAGTTTATCACTTTTATAATATTGTTATTTAGGCGCTTGATTTTCTCAAAAAGTCTGATAATTTTCCCAAGGCAAAAAAGTGGCTTCAGAGTATTGAATGTGAATTAAACTTTACATATCAGATATCAAAAAAAGACGAACATGCATCGCTACCTCCTGATCGACCAATAAGGGTTCAAGATCAGGTGTAACATGAAAATAGAAAGTTAAAAATCGCTCTATGAAACTTCCCTTTTTATCCCAACAAAATCATTCCTTTGCGAAATTTTTTATAATTATAGTGACTGCCGTTTATTTATAAAACGGGTTAATTAAATGATAATTTGAATAAACAACGATGACAAACCAAACCTTTTTCGTATATCTCGAAATTTTTGTAGGTTTGGGCTATACTTGGATTGAATTTTAAGCGGCGATTACGTACGTATATACCTAATTTTGACTAGACGCGACCCCAGTTATGCAGACTTAGTGTTATCTTTTCTGTCTGAACAAAGCAGATGGTCTTTAGGGAGAAATGATTAGCTGGGTTTACTGTGAGAGTAAGCCTATACATTCCATAGAAACTATTTTGACTTTGCCGAAAGTATTTTGGCATTGATTTTTAATATAAGATTTCTAGTTTATAACTCAGACATTTCATATCAAAAAAAAATGCCAAAATACTTTCGGAAAGGCCGAAATAGTTTATATGACATGTATAGAGTTAAGTCATTATAGTTATATAGACAATTCCAGAATTCTGTTCTTATACACTTTTAAGGAATTTTTATTATAAATAAAACCATGTTACGTAGACAAGTCTCCATAATAAGTTTCATACTATTGCTATGTATATGCAAACAACCTAATATTACATAAATAACCACTACGTATAAGACTGGCTTTATTCAAAATCAAATCGAGAATACATTATGACATTGTTTGGTTGTGACACTATCGATTGGCTTTAAGTGACTACAATGACTATCAAGGAATGTGATGAATGTATTTATACAAGTCATGTATATCGGTCACGTTTTTATGCATTTTACTATATATCAAGAGTAGTAAGTATCCCGCATAAGAACGTAATTTATAGGTTTACAAGATTTGTTCTTGTTGGCTGAAGCTGAGGGGAGCGAAGTGGAAGCCTTAAAGCCATACTCTACGAATTTTTAGAAATGTCCGGTTCTCGGTTCAACTGATCCAATTTTAGGTTACATTACATGAGTGTCGCTAAAAGAAAACCTGAAAATTTAAATATAAGTCATATTTAAATTTTCGGGTTTTCTTTTAGCGACACTCATATATCAACATATAAATTAAATGTAAATAAAAAAACTTATTTGTTACGAATAATGGATCCAATATGTAGGTATAATTAACTCTTTGTAACCAATTTTAACCATCGGGTAAATAATTTCTATTTTAATTGATTGTTTTTGATTATTTGACAGATCCACCTTCTTTAGACTCTCCAATTAAAAAAGTTGGTTAAGTTGATAGCCTGACGACGAAAAATTTTATCATTGCATTTATTGCATTTTATTCATTATTGCTTAGTTATTCAAGTGAGTTTTTGATCCAATCCATTTCTTACCCATATAGACGTTAGCTTTCATTTTTCAAAAAAAGTTATAGCAGTTTTGACTTCACTTAAAATCGATAATTCATCTATTTCTAAGGGTAGTGTTCCGCAGAACCGAACCGAAGACCCGGAACCGACCCGGAACCGACCCCCGGTTCGAATCCGGGTCTGTTATTTTTTGAAAAATCCGGTTCCGGGTCTTTAGTTGGACTCGAACCGAAGTCAAATAAACGCATTGTATTTCGGGTCTTTCGGGTCGGTTCCGGGTTTTTTCGGTTCCGGGACCCTATTTGGACTCGACCCGATTTTTCGGTTCGGGTCCGGATCCTTAAAGAACCCGCCCGGAACCGGTCCGTGCGGAACACTATCTAAGGGGATTTTTATGGATAATTTTTGGCTTCACAAAAACGAATTAAAAGGTTTTGCTGTTGTTAAAATGCAAATACATTAAAGAACAAAGAAGTGTTGATTGTAAAAAGTAAAAGAAAAAAGTAAATGAATATACATTTTATCGGTATCAGACTAATGCCGTAATATTAATATCGATATTAGTGACTCGGAGTAACAAGTCTCTTTCAAAACACCTACAGACATATGACCGAGTTTTTTTTTGTTGGTCACGCTGGGGAAGATTACGACATACTGCCGTGATATTTTTATTAAGGTAGTTACCACAGAGATTCTAAATGTCTATGTTGTGCATCGGAATGGAATTATTGTGAATTTAGAATCCACCTGGGTTGATTCTAAATAAACATAGGTTGCATTAGAATTCTAAAATATTCCCAAGTTGTTAGAGAATTCCAATTCAACTTACAATAAAATTAAGTGTATTCCAAATTATTTCTTTGAGTAAGTTGTTTTGGAATTTAAGTCGATTTAGACTATTCATAACGCTGTGCATTGCAAATTAGTGAGATGGTAATTACTCCACAGGGTACTTTCATTTTTTATATTTGCAATGATTTTTATCACACGCATTTTTGTAATCGTATTTAATATTATCTATGTATTTGTGAAGAGGGTTGCATAATAGACGTACCTCGAACGTTTTTGAGCTATAATCATCTCTTTCAATAACGAACTTAAGATTTTGGAAAAAAAAATTCGGTATAGAAATTACCAAGTTTTCATGAGAACCTTTTGCACTTTTTATGTAAAATTTCAAAATTTTGAGTTCGTTATATCCAGAGTCGACTATACTATTTAATTTTTGGAAACTTATCAGAACCCAATAGAAGAAATTAATTAGAATTATACTAATTCTAATCATGCCGGATTTGTATCCGAATTTATATGTCATTCTCCCAAGACTTTGAGGATGTTGCAGGAGAATTTTTTTCGATCGTTGTACTTATATCTGCTGGGTCGTGAAAACCTTAATACAACAATCAAAGCCTTCATGGTTTTACGTCGACTATTGGTTGCTAAAAAATATTTGGAAAAATAACTCATCGAATGCATTATTAGGCAAAAATAATCTTGAAATTCGGTCATCGGGTAGAGAGTTTTGCAAAGAACGAACAAGTGAAATAATAACAAGAAAGTATAAAAATTTATATTTTATCTTGACAATTTATCACACGGTAGATGTAATTTATTTAATTATCGTCACGTCAATCGCTTAAGCATTTATTGTACTATCGAATTTTAAAATCAACTTAAGCCATTATTAAATTTATCGATCATTACAATATCAAATTTAGAATCACCTTAAGTTGCTTTTAAATTTCGCATCAACTTGGGTTACATTTGGAATTCCATTCCAACCAAAGTGGATTCTAAATCTACAATAATTCCGTTCTGACGTACAACATATATATAGGCAAGAATTGATTAAAGTTAAATTTTTAAATTGAATAATTTAGTCATTAATCGATAATAGTAACAGGTCGCAAAAAAAAATTACAGGATTTACTAAGGCCATGCAAAATTAATTTCTTGGTTTTCATAACCCGACCGGGTCAAAAAATTGAAAACCTCAATTTTTTTTTTTAAATTAGTCAATAGAAATGCGGATTGCTTCAGATAGAAAATTCAACCAATAAAAGCACATAGTAATTAAATTACGAAATTATCTAAGAACAGTCAGATAGATCTCATTATAACGTACTATATACTCAAATATGCAATCGCTTTTGTAATAAAACTAGTGATAATAATATCAACTAATTGTTTCCTACTGCCTGCCATAAATATAAATAATTGAGAAGTTTGTCAACAAAGTGACGGTGACCATTATTGTTAAACCAGATGACTTTGTGTATAGTCCTTATTGTATCTTGTTTGATGCAGATATTTTCTGTGATAACATGTGATTATATGAGTTACTATTATACCTTCAGTTAGTAGGAAAGCTATCTTTTTTTTTATTATCACTTACCTTGTAGTGAGGGCTGGCTCTATCGTCCTGCCCTATCCACACTTTGCTTGGTGACTCATAAATTAAGAAGGCGCAAAGATTATATGTATGATTATTAGATACCACAACTATAATAGCAGTGCAAGGTCTTTATATTAGTGATTAGGTTCCATGGCTTCAGAATTAAAGGCCTAATGTTTGGCAATTGAACACTATGGTTGTAATAGTAGTGCAAGGGCCTCACATTGGCGATTAGGCATCGCAGCTACAATAAGACCCATGTTTGATATTAGGCTTCAGCGATAACAGTACAAGATCCTTGTGTTTAAAGATTAGGCTCTGTGGCTGCAATATCAGTGCAAGAACATCATGTTGCACTACAATAGCAGTGAAAGGATCTCACATTTGATGATAGTGTGAGAACTTCATACGTGATTAGGTACCACAGCTACAATAGTAGTGAAGATCTCATATTTGATGATTAGACTCTGTGGCTGTAATAACAGTGCAAGAACCTTATATTGTGTTTAGACACCGTGGCTGCAATATTACAATGCTTGT